CTGAAGACACTATTTGGCTAATGCCACGCTTTTACTTTAAGATCTTTCTTTGGACTCAGCGGGTAACAAATAGTGCAAAATGTGGATGCTTAAATATTCATAAAAATATTAATTGTGTAGGTAATACATTTCCCTTCTATTATCATACATTCACTGGATATCTTAGAGACCTTAATTTAGAATTTTCATAGATTCATAGATTATTAGGGTTGGAAGGGACCTCAGGAGATCATCTAGTCCAACCCCCTGCTCAAAGCAGGATCAATCCCCAACTAAATCCCCAAATGGCCCCCTCAAGGATTGAACTCACAACCCTGGGTTTAGCAGGCCAACGCTCAAACCACTGAGCTATCCCTCCCCCCATTTTAATGTCTTGCAATTAGCCACAAGGGGTCTGGCTTTACTTCAGATATTCTTCAGTCATATTTTAAAAAGTTTTGTTCCTTCCCTTCTACAGAATTAGGCCTCCATTGAAATCCGATGACCAAGAACTAACATGGGTGACAGCACCTTTACCTACTGAGTTGTAATTCCTTGGTATTCTACAAGAAACTCAGAAACTATCTGTTTTTAAAATTTTATTTCAAGTCCTTGTTTTGTTTAGTCCTGGAAATAAAGTTCTAGCTCTAATACATTTGCTTCCTGTGAGATTCTTCCACTGTAAAAAGCAAAATAAGGAACATTTATTGTTTCAAATTCAGACTAACTTCCTGTTTTCAAATACACAGCAACATTTGAACATCACTTAATTTCATCCTAAGGTCTCGATTCATCAAGGTATCTAAACACATGCCCAGTCCCACTGACCTCAATAGGACTATTCAGATGCATCAGGCTGCTCAATCAGGACTACAAGATTCTTAGGAAATCTTCTCAGCCATACAAAACGTTTCTGACTTCAACTTTATCTTGAGCATTTTCAAAATTTCAGACATACTTTACTGTCAACCCACTGCACTTCTGTATTTTATTTTATTTGGACTTTTATGATTTCTATCTGGCATTTTATTGAGCATTGGTAAAAATCAGTCTACATAAAACATGACAGAAGCAAAGGGAAAACTAGATATCAACCCGAATCAAATATTGTAAAATATGTTGTTTAATGAGAGATTCATCTCATCACAGCAAGATTGGATGGATTCAGGATCACAGTCATTAATAAGAGAACTACTAAATCTGTATGCCACTAAGACAGAAGGAAAGTTAATAATCCGGTATTTGAACAAGCATACGAATTTTTAAAGCCATGGGTTTTACAAAACCACTCAAGCTAGGACTTTGCTTGGAAACAGCAAACAGAGATTGGTTGTTATAGCCACGATATGGTATTTAAAGACTACTGTATGAGAAGAGAAAGCCAAAAATGCCTAATAATATTGTTTTGTCTGCTGAAGTAACAGACTCACTCACAACAGGTGTGCACATTTAATACAGTATCGCAGGGAGATCATTAGGAGATTAAAAGAATTAGTAATAGGATTAAGCCAAAGTGCTACCACTTGGAATCTCTCCAGAGATTTAATGATTTGCTAAAATCGTATGAAATTTTCCATTGGTCTGAAAGATGACTTCAGTAGAGTGCTGTATCATTTTTACAATAGCCATAACTATGTACAGTAGGAGATATTGCTAGCAATTTAGCCAAATGTAAAGACAATGTGCCACTATAAAAATGCAAAAAGGATGGGGAGATTTCTTGCATTAATTCCCACTTGTCCTTGCATTTACATTTCAAGCTAAAGTTTTTAAAGTATCTGAAGGAAGGAAGATTATCTTTATTCATGACATACCTGTCAAAGGTATAATAGTTCCTTTCTTGCAACTGTTGTTCTTTTTTATAATTGTGTAGGTATAATTGTTACATTAAAATACAACCCCCTGACATATTAAATATTGTAATTTACATGGTTAATATGTTATAATATGAATATTTATAATAGCCTAAGAATATTATAAATACATATTATAAATCATATTTTCTTATCTGTGAATATTAAACTTTAAGAACAAAAGGGGAGATTTTCAAAAACACAAATGGCAGGCATTGATCTTCAACTGAATATCAGTGGGAGTTAGAAGCCTACCTACACTTTGTGCCTTTCAGAACTCCCCAAATGCCAAGCCACCACCAATACGAACATGAACAGAAAAAGAAAACCACCATGTTCCTGACTAGCTAAAATAATATGATAATTCTATAAAAACCAAAGGAACAGAAAAACAATCTCTGATGTCAGAAAAATATTAACACTCTCTCAGCAGTTTATACACAACAGACCATGAGACAGCTTTAAAACCAGCAACAGGGTTCTACTGACATTTGAGAGTTTAATTTCAATTGAATCTTATACGCCTAGTGTGAGAGAGAGTCTTAAAAATATTTTTTAAAAACCAATCAGATGAGAACATTTGTGTTCCACTACTTGACACATGAATTAGCAACAAGAGAAGTGCGGGTCTGTCACATAGTAAGTATCCTCTGAAGTCAGTTTTTGTTCTGTGTTTCCAAATTCTGTTCTTCTTCCAAAGATGCCAGTGGGGGAGCAGTAAAACCTTTGCAAATATATCAGAAAGCTATCAAGGAGCCTGACTGCATCTTTAGAGTTGTTAAAAACAACTGCGGAGAAGATGAAACTGGCACTTTGCAGCACAATTTACTGGCATCTGGGGGGAACTGGTCAGATGGGCAGACACAGCAGAGGACAGGCATTTGGGAGCCAGGTGATTGAAGTCTCCTTCTCCAGCAATAACACAATCATGAGGATGGTAGCGATTTGGCAGGTCAAAAGAGAAGTACAGATCCTGCTCACCTGGCAGAAGAGTGTAAAGTAGCTACATGGCAGGAAGAGATCCCTTCCACCCACTCATCTGTCCTCAAAGGTATGAAGAGTGAGTGGTAATTGCCACAAACTCAGGATTTATTAAACCCAGTTGTTTTTCAGTGACTGTTTCTTGTTATCTCAGTTATATTGCTTGTTCCAACTGGATAGCTGTATTATGCCCCAAGAGATTAGGATGGAAGGTCTTGAAAATGCATATTTTGTAGAACATTACTCTGCTCTATGCTCTCTTCAGCTTGGTCTACAGATACCATATGTATTTATAAAATTGATGCACTTCCATGTTGGGATCTTTGTAATTACACTTCATTTTCAGCTATTAGATTTATCAAAGCAGCTAGTTCTTACCAAGAAAAGAATGGACACTTGCTTTCAAAATCATGTACTTGGTGAGGATAGCTTTATAGTCCAACAGCACTCAAAGAGTAAGGCTCAAAACATCCTCAGAAAGGAGGAGTACACCTGTGATATGGCCAAATTCTGTTACAAGAGTACACTTTGCTATGGACATCGCTATGCTGCTGAACATGGTTATATCACGAAAGGGAAGTAGGTAAGCATGTGTTTTGATGAGTGCTGGTTCCTCAATACCCTTGGAAGACTTATTCTGTCATAGGTCAAAGACCTCAATTGTGACAGTGCTGCCTGCAGTTTGGCCTCAGCATTCCTTCAGACTGTGACTAAATCTCCTCAGGATGGCCCAATATAGACCACTGTGTTATTTTGAAATAGTTGCAGCCTTCATTTTACATCAAAAATAGATCTCTCTCTTCCTGGTGTACCAGAGGCAATATGCTTTATTTTTAATTGTATAAGCACCTATCAAGTTTGTGCAGAAACACTATTAATTTAAATTTTTCCTTTGTTTTTAAATGTGGGTATACAACTATCCACCAATACTTTGAGGAAAAAGTATTACAGATATTTTCCCCCTTCTGGAGAGGATAAATAGACATGTTGATAAATCACCTCTTTTATGGAGTATTGTACAGTGTTAGACTGGAAAGGAAGCATGTAAAACTCTCCTTTGTCATGATGTCCACAAAAATCTTGACAACAGTTCGGCTGCTGGTGCTCTGAGACTACTGCCTATTATGCTGACCAACATTTCCTCACTGCTTCCTTGCACTCCCCTGTTGGTCTGTCTGTATCCATTTGTTGTCTCCTGTCTTACACTAGAACTGTTTTTGTGCTGTGTTTGTACAGTACCTAGCACAATGGGATCCTGTATCTATGACCGGGTTCTTAAGTGTTATGATAATACAAATAACAACAGATTAAACGACAGGACTTGGATTAAACCTCAGAAGATCGGTGTTCTATTCCCATCATTGCCAGAATTCCTTTCACAAATCACTTCATTTTGCCTCAGTTTACCCATGTGTACAATGAGGACAATAACTAATTAACTGAAGTATATAAAGCACTTTAAAATCCAGGGGTGCAAGATACTGTAGAAGTACAGTTATTATTTCCAAACAAAAGAAACGAACTGTGGTGGTTACAACTATAATGAAAGAAAAGAACCTGACCATTTTCTGTTGTTTATGACAGAGAAAATAATACAACATTGGAGTTGTAGGGCAAAGTTTTAAGAGATACTACCAACCTAAAAATGAACAGTATTTTACCATGTGGACTTTTATACAGAAGCATTTTCAATAGCTGGCAATAACTCTGCTATTTTCTGACCTACCTCCTCTTTTTCAGATGTAACAGGGATTAGAAAAACTGTACACGACAGTAGAACCTCAGAGTTACAAACACCTCGGGAATGGAAGTTGTTCGTAACTCTGAACGAAACGTTATGGTTGTTCTTTCAAAAGCTTACAACTGAACATTGACTTAATACAGCTCTGAAACTTTACTAGGCAGAAGAAAAATGCTGCTCTCTCTTTTTTTTTTTTAAGCAGTTTACGTTTAACAAAGTATTGTACTGTATTTGGTCTCTGCTGCTGCCTGATTGTGTACTTCCAGTTTCAAATGATGTGTGCGGTTAACTGGTCAGTTCATAACACTGGTCTTCATAACTTCGAGGGTCTACTGTACTTAAAATACTCTGTAAATCTGAAGTTTTAAGGTGTAAACATTATGGCTATAAGTAAGCTATAGCAAGAGAATATATTAATCACAAATCATTTCCTTCAGTGCTTTTACCTGCAGATGGCTGGAAAGCATTCCTGAAGTCCCTTTTTTTTGACTAAGGATCCTTCAAGGCAGTACATGAGGATGTCCATAACCTTGGAAACAAAAGTTACAATTGTTTAACAACGTTTGATTTTATTGTTCATAACAAAATTTAAATTCTGAACAGTTATAGAGTTTTCTAACTCTTGTGTTTAATTATATTTTTGGTACTTAAATATAATGTGTTATCTGCATAAACAAATCTGACTGTATTGCAGCATATTGGAATTTGCAATGGCAATGGTACTGGGAATTGCTGCAAATACTCATTCACAGTAACAGTACACATTTTACAAAGCTACAAACTACAGGCAAGTGTCTGCTATTGAAGGCCTGAGAAGGAACACCACATTTTGTGCTAGTTATATTAAGAGGGAATGTGAACAGGAACACCAAAGTTAAGGAAATCACATGGTATGGTGGATTCTTTAACAATGTCCTTCAGCCTTAATGAATATGCATCTGAAAGACAAAACTTCCAACATCCCTCTTCAGTCCATTCAAAATGCTCCTGTTACAACCACGTCCAAATTGCCAACAGATTCTTTTATTAGCTTGTCCTTACCAATTAAGTCCTACCCAATTCTCTGCTCTGGTCTCTTCAACCCTTGACACTTTCACTTTGCCCAAGCTACAGGATTAACTATTCCATTTGGTCCATCTCCATACATCCTTTTATGTAGCCCTCCTGTCAGAAACCCTCTCTGCAACCCAGTCTTCAATGCACCCACTTAACCCTTTTCAAGGGCCTCCTGAAAATACATTACTTCCCAGCCCAAGTCCTCCCCTTAAAAAAGAGTTTACCCAAAAACAGATAAAGGAAAAAATTAGAACAAGGTGTGCTAAACATCTCTGCTCGCTGATCTCGCTTTTGTTGCGCCATACCCAGTCATTTGTATATCTGTTTTCTGCTCCTTTTTAAGCCCCTTGAGACAGGGACAGAGTCTTATGGCATCAGATGTGTTATTTTAAAAAATAAGTATGTTCCATGGTGCTGTAAAGGTAGATGGCACTTTACAATTGCGTTTATGTGCAATGTATTATTCATTGATTTATTAAAAACTATGATATACAGATATTACAGCATATTCTTACCTCTACAAGAAGATCCACAACATCTGTGGGCATTTTATCTATTAGTATTTCGATGACTCTTAGGATCTCTCCTTTAGCCCGAGCAAGAGCTGTGGTGTGAATATTCTGTTGAGACTGAGTGTTTGCTGCCAGCGCAGTGTGTCTATGCACCTACAAAAGGAATAGGATTATATATTTCATTACTGTCGTCCACATATGTTTCAACTATACTTAGCATGAGCTTTCCATGTTAGTTTCTTAATATCAGATCAGGTTCCAACCTTTCTACAGTCTCTAGCAGCGGTGAGAGGAGTCCAAGTGTTCATATGGGCTACTGCAGTTCTACATTGTCACATCTCTTCTTCAATGTGTACATAAAGCCAATTAAGGAGGTTAAGTAAAGTAAAGAGGCTGGGCTGGTGATTATTTCTGTTTGCTAATCACACCTAACTCTGCCTGCACCTCTGACTTGGCTGGCACAGTGGAATAATTAGCCCACTGTCTAAGATTGAGGCATGGATGAAGACTGAGGTACTGTCACTAGTCTGAGGGAAGAAACCAGAGGAATTACAAATTAATTATGCAAAATTACATTGTTCCACATCATTCACTAGGAATGAAGACATCTGATGACCAATCCAAAAATATAATTTGTGAAATATTCAGAAAAGAAACAGCTTTTGTTTGAGGTTTAAGGACAAATGTTCAACATTTGGACTAAAATATTACATTAAGAACATCTGTATTTTGCAGAACTCATTTGAACCATAGAATCATAGGACTGGAAGGGACCTCGAGAGGTCATCTACTCCAGTCCCCTGTACTTGTGGCAGGACTAAGTATTATCTAGACCATCCCTGACAGGTGTTTGTCTAACCTGCTCTTAAAAATCTCCAGTTATGGAGATTCCACAATATTTATTCCAATATTTACCCACCCTGACAGTAGGAAACTTTTTGTCCTATCTTCAGGAGTTAAGAAAAACACATTTTTTCCCCTCCTTCTTGTAACCATCTTTTACATACTTGAAAACCATTATGTCCCCTCTCAGTCTTCTCTTTTCCAGACTAAACAAACCCAATTTTTTCAATCTTCCCTCATAGGTCATGTTTTCTAGACCTTTAATCATTTTTGTTGCTCTTCTCTGGACTCTCCAATTTGTCAACACCTTTCCTGAAATGTGGTGCCAGGAACTGGACACAATACTCCAGTTGAGGCCTAATCAGAGCAGAGTAAAGCGGAAGAATTACTTCTCGTGTCTTGCTTATAACACTCCTGCTAATACATCCCAGAATGATGTTTGCTTTTTTTGCAACAGCATTACACTGTTGACTCAGATTTAGCTTGTGATCCACTATGACCCCAGATCCCTTTCCGCAGTACTCCTTCCTAGATAGGCATTTCCCATTTTGTATGTGTGCAACTGATTGTTCCTTCCTAAGTGGGGTACTTTGCATTTGTCCTTCTTGAATTTCATCCTATTTACTTCAGACCATTTCTCCAGTTTGTCCAGCTCATTTTGAATTTTAATCCTAACCTCCAAAGCACTTGCAACCCCTCCCAGCTTGGTATTGTCTACAAACGTTATAAGTGTACTCTCTATGCCATTATCTAAATTATTGATGAAGATACTGAACCAAATTGGACCCCAAACTGATCCCTGTGGGACCCCACTTGCTATGCCCTTCCAGCTTGACCGTGGCCTTTGAATGTAGCCTTTGAATATGTTTTAATTATTATTCTGCATACACTCTTTAAAATGTTGGTCCACTTTCTTTACTGATCCTCACTTTCACAAAAAGGGAGGGTCAGGGTGAATAAATGGCCCATCTTGGACTGAATGATATATAATACCAAATATTATTTTGGACATTTAAAGGCCCTTCACGGTCTACCTCCTTGCCAGCCTTCTTTTGCCAACCCGATGTTTAGGTACACTCACACATAATCAGACCTGCAGAGGCTGCAGCTGCTTCTAAAATCAGATGCACTAAGGAGATGGGAGAATGACTGGGGTAAAAAGGGGATCCTAGCTTCTAGCTATGCCCAAAGAACCTAGGACTGGATTGGGGAGAAGAAAGACCCATCACCAAAGATGGATGGATGATGAAGGATTTTGCCCACTGCTCTATATGTGAATTGGAAGGTTATACACCCAGTACATCAGGACACAACAGGTTAAGCCATTTTCAACTCATCAAGTGACCTGGTGTAGCAGTTATCAAGATATTGCTGCATAATGTGTATGTTGCATACCACCAAATATTTAAAAATGATAACCCATTTTGTCTCCCCAAAAAAGCTAAATTGTGGGGCAGTGGTAAAGGAGATTTGACAATTTTTTATTTCTGTCTGCTAATACTGGAGCTGAAAAGCATTAATATAAAACCAACCAAAAAGTTTGTTGCACGCTGAGATCATTATTCTTTTGAAAGTGCAGTTCAGTGAACATTGAAGTTTTTCTCACCTCCTTGGCGATAGTTGTTATGAAGGCGGGTGGTCTGGCAGTGGCAATGAGTGAGAGAGCATGTCGTGCAGAGCGGGCGGAGTCAGCTGCTGGACTCAGAGGCAGCCCCATTGTGATGCTAAAGAGGGATCAGACAAAGGGGGGAAAAAAGAAAAGAGGCATTAGAAATATAGAGTGAAAAGATTAGACACAGCTTATAATGTCAGTTCAAGGTCAACGGGAGCACTCAAACAGTTAGAATATAATGGACTTCCAACAATGAGCAGTGATTAGGAGTCAGGGTGTTCTGGCATCAAATACAAAATCGAATAATTAACCATGAAGATTGAAAACAGTATGTGCATCTGTCCAAAGTGTTAAAAAGGCCTTGTTAACAAATTATCTAGCTGTAGTACTGAATACGTATCACAAAACCTGGGACAAGGCAAATAAAGAATGTCATACAAAGTATTTTTATATTTTATTGTTTAGCAAAAGTTTAGAAGCAGCTTGAAAATACAGCTTTTGTAGTATTACTATTCAATTCAGCTAAGCACTTTTAACTAGTTGGGAGGAGGGGAAGGAAGAGCTTCTAGAGGCACTGAAAATACTAAATTCATTCAATTTGGTTTCCTGTGTTGAATGAATCACTTTGTTTTAAAATACTGCAAGCGCTACTAAGGCAAAGCTAGACTCACCTATCAGCAACCCCTATTTATGAACATCACAGGCGTGGCAGAAGTTCAACACACTAAGGCAAGATTGCTTTTTCAGAGCATATGCAAATGAGCAGCACTGACTGGCTGGTGACTGATTTTTAGAACAACTTCTCCGCCTTAAAAATCTACATCTTAGCTGTTGTTCCTAATTTGCATTATATAGATATATGAATGCTAAGTGTTAATAAAACTATGATTTTTCATAAAGTAAGTGTCATTTAAGTGCACACTGAGAACAAGAGATGATTTTTGTTACATAAGAGGAGGTGAAATCTACAGCTTTCTCCTCTAGCAATGTGATTTCAGATGCGTTAGTACTTTAAGAGATGCACAGGAGATAAAAATATATTAATTGAAGTCTGTCCAGGACCAATTAAGTAATTTTATCAAACTTCATCTGTAATTTAAATTATATACGATTTATTTCTAAATACTTAACGCCGAGGACACCCCCAATATGTAAAGTCGTGGCTCATTAAAATATTTAATTACCTTATTATAAAGCAATACAAAATTATCACAGTGTCTCTTTGGAAATACAACCAGAGGCCTAAGCCTGCAGCCCGTACTCATGCGAGCAGTCACACTGCTTTCAATCAGATTACTCACATGAGTAAGGGCTGCAATTGAGTTATGATTGCAATCATTTTACACAACTAATGTCATTAGAACTGATTAACAAAAAAACTCCTTTCTAAATCCTTAACATAACATACTCGCATTTAAAGACTCTTGGTCGGATTGTAACTGTGCCAGAACTCCACTCAGTGCAGCTGATTGGGGAGGTGGTAAAGGTAGCTGTCATCCACCATGGAGCTTTTCTGATCTCTGGAGTTGCTGGGGGCCAGTTCAGCCTTTAGTGTAAGTTAGAGCAGCCTCAAGACTACTCTAAACTATATACAGCTGCAATTGTCCTCTGTTTCATAGCAGAGAATCTCTCAGTACAGTCACATCCCAGCCATGTCCCTTTCATCCCCTACAGACTGCTGAGGTGGCACAAAGCTTATTAGCGGGCAGAATATGGCTCATTTTTGCCGTTCGCTCTGACTGCAAATGAGAGAAGATCATCCCAAACAATTCCATTAACTCTCACATCATTTCTATTTTATTCATGTCACATCTTACCAAAGGCTCACATTTAGAAATGTTAAGTTTTAAGACTTGTTTTTTAAAAAACAGTAGCATATAACAGGTTATATGTTTGTACATAACATGCAAAGCCTAGGTAGAGTCCAACTCCACAAGCCTCAAAATGACAGGAAAGAAGGCATCAAGACCTTTGTTCAAGCTCCAAAAAATATGCAACTTAGTCTATCAACTTGTTTGGCTCCATCCCAATAATGTTTGAGTCATGATGTTAATGTCTGATATCTTCTGATATGCCAGGCTAAAAGAAGGAATGATTTCTAATTCTCCAAAGGGGTATTTATAGCACAGTTAAAAATGTTCCTGGACCAGATAACATGTTTCTCAATTCTGGACTTTAAATAAGTATAACTGGGAAGGGGGCTTGGAGCAAATGGACATTTTGAGAGACAGGGAGGGAAGGGATGAATTATACCTCTCAACAGCCTAACAAGAGAATGTGTGAGCAAAAGGAGAAAAAAGGATACAAACAATGTGAAATATTATTTCCTCAATGAAGAGAAGATATCTCTTTTTGAACTATGCTTAGGTCAAATATTTCCAATAAAAATAAGATTTTAAAAAAATCTATCTTGTTTAATTCTCTCCTCTGCTCATGTTTTATATGGAATATATGCTATGAACTGTGTTATAAAAGCAGGACATGAGTTTGGGATGGCCAATTACTTCTAAGTGACAAAGCCACAAATACATGTGAGTGCCATTTAAACCTTTATTCCACACCACTAAGTATATGCTCTAACTTAAGGAATATTTCAGTGGGTTCAAAAAAATTATTGGAACTATTTTTTCATCTGTAAAAGTAGGTGCTTTAGTTATTGAGCGTTCTCTCTCATGTTTTGTGTAGGAAGTGGGTGCCAAGATTGGTGTCAAAATTGTTTCATATTCTTAGTTATTTCCATTTTTTTATTTTTGAGAAAAAAAATGTGTGTTCAGTGGTACAAAGCTCCTCTTGAACTGCACTTAACAACTTTGATGATAACAATGAAGTTTATTATTTTAGATTTTTGTGTATGGTAAATCTGTGATATAACAGGATTGCACACTCTTGTAGCTTACATATGAACAAGTATGCAAAGACCAGCCAAGCGCTGATTAAAGCTTTCTCTGACAAGTGAGCTATCTGAGTCACTGTCAAACTATGTAGCAGCAATACAGGGATAAAGGATAAGCATTAGATTCAACAAAAATACATGAGATCTTGCTTATCATTTTTATTCACCTCATATTCTCTTACTTCATCAATACACACAATAAAATAATGAATAAAACAATTAATGTACTTCTCAGAATAGCACTATATAGATGTTCCTGTTACCTTTTATTTGCTATAGCTCTTTGAATAAAACTAAAAATCATTTTGGCATTTTTGCAGACTACTGAGTGATGAAAGCATATCAAAAACTAGATTAACAATCTAATCCTAATGTTATCTAGTAATAACGTTGTTATCTAGTAACCCTGGTCTGGTGCCTACGTGTATATTGAAAACGTCAGAAGCATAGTTCAGCAAGGATTCACATGTTTCTGTCAGGAATATTTTTCCTCCCAGTGTTTGGTAAGGCATGCATTTTCCTGAAAAGCAACAGGTTTCTTGTTAATTCATTTACAACACTCAGCTGTGGTAGTATGTGGCCAGAGATTAACCCCCTCTCGCAGCTGGTCTGTATGTCTTCTTTCAGAGCTAAAGCTGTGCGTGATGGAACGGGCACATTGCACCAAGACCACAGACCAAAACAAAGGCAGATGCAAACCTAGCATTCACAAGAAAGCACCAGGTCTCTTATATCCAGATATATTCTTTTATAGGGGAATTTCATTCTTTCCACATCCTTAAGATTAGTACAACATGTGTACTGTCCCAGCCAGATACAGATTCCAATCACACCTTAAACAGTCATTTGTGTAAACCATAGTGTAGACAAGCTATGGACTTTTACAAAACTGATACTGAACCATCCTACCACAACACATGCCTATCTATTGCCAGTGGCACTAAGGGATCTCAAACTACTCTATTTTTATCCTTTTCCCCCCTCTCAGTAAATTTGATTCAGAGTACAAATATGTTGTTTATATTATTTATTTAAATTTATACAATGCATAAAAAAAGCCACCTATTCAGGGCTGCCGGCATGTGTAGCATATGTTAAAAATTCAGTCAAACTGGTACAAACAGGAATAAATCCAACAGCCTCCCCCAAACTTGGAAACATCCAGCCAAATAGAAAATACCTATACGTTAATATAGTGGGTCAAGATTTATTGCCTGGGTCCCACTGGCAGAAAGTCTGCCTGGAGTTGAGGTTTAGCTGCAGACTTTAGCTGCTAAGCCAGCGGTCAGATGATGGCTGACACAGCTCACAAGTGGGTGGGAAGCGCATCTCCCTCACAGCGTCCACTGACGGGACTTGTGGCGTTCTGGCTAAAGTTTAAAGCTGCTTTCCCATAAGGGAGGCTTCCCAACTTGTGGGAAACTGCCTCTACGGACACAGCTGGTGAATACGGTGGGAACTAATCAAACCCAAACTTGTAAAAAAAATTACACCGTACCCCAAAATAAACATAGCAGTATGTGTGGCTGAAGTTCAGATTGCTCACTGTGGGTACACTAGTGGGGAGGGGAGAGATTAGATTCCTTTGGCGTCATGTTCCCATCCAGGAGACCACTATACATTTGCTGCGAGCTTTAGGGAATGTAAGGGACCAGCACTCTGTCCCAGATGGCTTGGCTACAGCAAGCCCCAGCAGGACAACTCTGCAGAAGTGCAGACTACATTTTAAAGGTGTATCAATAAGTATTTTTTACTGAACTTACTCCAATACCGTAGTGCCACACAAAAGATCTGTTCTGAACAAAGGTATGAAGGATGGCAGAGCAGTTTTGCGCCTGGGATGCTCTTGGGCTTGCACTGACACGGTGGTGGTGGTAGTGGAAACTAGGCAGATCTGAGACTAGCTGATACTGCTTCAGCTAATCTCTGGCGTTCATGGTCCTGGGAGAAGGGAGGCTTGGCAGATGACAGAGCCAGTGCCCTGAGATGCCATATCTGTCACTGAAGAATGGGCAGGAGCAGTACTTGTTTTTCCTGTTCATCCTGGCAATGCAGTTATGCAGAGTGACTGGATGCAAACATATAAATGCCTTTATATGGCACTTGCATTTTCCAGGGTCTTTACAGACATTACATGTTCTTCACACACTCCAATAACCAAGGGACTTCATTATTATTCTTATTTTATAGATGGGGAAACAGAGGCAAGGTAGTTAAGT